GACGACAAGTAACGAATCTCCGACATTTCAGAGTAGCGTACGAGAACGAGCAGCCAACAGCTGCCAACTTAATCTGGTAGGAATATGACCTCACCATCGTCTAAGAAACTTTTGTAACCTCAGCGGCCTAAACTCTCTCCCGTGTGAGCTATGCAAATGGTTCCACAACCGAAGTCAAAAGCTAAAATACTTGTTGCAAATTAAGCGTTGCGAGGCTGCACCTTCGAGGGTAGCGCTAAGGAACAAGAAATAACAAGATTGGCTGCTTACTACGCTTTTTAACACCTCGCAAATGACCCGACTGTGATCCATGGCGAGAGCGCAAAAGTTGTTGTTGCCAGCACTAGGCAAGCAATCGCTGCCGCATAAGTACGGCATTTATGGGCAAAGACAAAGAGGATGGGGATACGATGGGGACAAGAGGATACCAAAAACTATAGGACACCTTATGTAGCAAGCGTATCGCATTATTACCTCATACTCACTAGGTAAGCACCATGAGATTTTTGGGTTTTACTGAAATCTGTGGATCCTCTTAAAGCTTCATAAGTCTTTGTGAACTAGCACATGCCATTCCATTTGTTTGTGATTTATTTTATCGCCATAACAGGCTGGCTGAAGCAGCGGCAAGGGTAATGTTTGCTGGAATTTTCTCGATTCTTGTAAATTGCATTTCTTGCGTTTGCTATGCGACATTTGATTGTTAGACTCTTGAAAATTCTCTGTTATATTGTTTTTTGCAATGTCTCATTTTAGGGTTCCTCCATTTCGTAGTTACATCATCGCCTACAGAACTTTTACGTAACGTTGCAAATTACGCAAGTTTGCTAAGACGAATGGGTCGCTGGGTGCATGGCGGCCTTCGCGAACCTTCCGGTCCCGGACGGAAAGTCTGGCGAATTTCGTTTGCCTTCTAGAACGTCCCGGTTCCCATAGAGATGGGCTGTCCACAGCGTGTACGGGCCAATGAACGCCCCAGGCTCCGCCCACATCTGGAACGTTCTCAATTTCGTCCTTGTAGGCGACACTGTCCCGAGCCTTCCTCATTTACGCCGAGTGCGTTCTGCGAGTACATCTCTCGAAACCACTTTCGCTTTCACCAACCGCGTTCTCAATCGGTAAGTTAAAGGTTGGGTATATAGGAGTTGCTTAGGCCGTACAGCAATCAAGCTGAATCCTTTTGGTTGCTCTAGGAGCAGTACATGCCTAAATTCTTGCAAAGTTCATTTTTATTACTACGTGCATTGTACACGACTAACTGTGCCGGTTTCAGAAATGTCGGACAACGAGCAGCAGGGTGAGACCTTCGCCTTCCAGGCGGAGATCGCTCAGTTGATGAGCTTGATCATCAACACCTTCTACAGCAACAAGGAAATCTTCCTGCGTGAGCTCATCTCCAACTCTTCGGATGCCCTTGACAAGATCCGCTACCAGGCGCTCACGGAGCCGTCGGAACTCGACTCCGGCAAGGAGCTCTACATTAAGATCACGCCGAACAAGGCCGACAAGACCCTCACCATCATGGACACCGGTGTTGGCATGACCAAGGCCGACCTCGTCAACAACCTTGGTACCATCGCCAAGTCCGGCACTAAAGCCTTCATGGAGGCCCTTCAGGTATGTTTCTGTCATATCAATGTGTCGTGGCAGCCATTGTTCATCCTAAACATTGCTTGTATTTTCTTACAGTTCGCAAGTCATTTGTAATTTTAGGCCGGTGCCGATATCTCCATGATCGGTCAGTTCGGTGTGGGCTTCTACTCCGCCTTCCTGGTTGCGGACCGCGTCGTGGTCACCTCGAAGCACAACGACGACGACATCCACCAGTGGGAGTCGTCCGCCGGCGGCTCCTTCATCATCCGCTCGGTCAACGACCCGGAGCTGACTCGTGGCACGAAGATCGTCCTTCACATCAAGGAGGACCAGACCGAGTACCTCGAGGAGCGTCGCATCAAGGAGATCGTCAAGAAGCACAGCCAGTTCATCGGCTACCCGATCAAGCTTGTAGGTTTCAGATTCGTCGGAGTTACTAAAGTTCCGAAAAAATGTGCTAAGCCAGTGTTCTTTAGGTCGTCGAGAAGGAGCGCGACAAGGAGGTCTCTGACGACGAGGCTGAGGAGGAGGAGAAGAAGGAGGAGAAGGAGACCAAGGAGGGTGAGATCGAGGAGGCTAAGGACGAGGATGAGGAGAAGAAGGTAAGCAAGGGCATTTCATTCTCGTTATAAGCGCTTATTCTTTGCTGTAGTCAGCTAACTTCGAAAATTCCAGGAGGGTGAGGACAAGAAGAAGAAGAAGAAGATCAAGGAGAAGTACCTCGAGGACGAGGAGCTCAACAAGACTAAGCCCATCTGGACGCGCAACCCTGACGACATCAGCAACGAGGAGTACGCGGAGTTCTACAAGTCGCTCTCCAACGACTGGGAGGACCATCTCGCGGTGAAGCACTTCTCCGTGGAGGGTCAGCTCGAGTTCCGCGCCCTGCTCTTCGTCCCGCAGCGTGCGCCCTTCGACCTCTTCGAGAACAAGAAGAGCAAGAACTCCATCAAGCTCTACGTGCGCCGCGTCTTCATCATGGTTTGTTGAAGCTGGGAAAATTTGTTTTCACGAAAAGCCTTCTAGGAGAACTGCGAGGAGCTGATGCCAGAGTACCTCAACTTCATCAAGGGCGTCGTCGACTCGGAGGACCTCCCGCTGAACATCTCTCGCGAGATGCTCCAGCAGTCGAAGATCCTCAAGGTCATCCGCAAGAACCTCGTAAAGAAGTGCGTCGAGCTCTTCGAGGAGATTGCGGAGGACAAGGACAACTACAAGAAGTTCTACGAGCAATTCGCTAAGAACCTCAAGGTACGACCTATACCCAACCACATGACTTAGAGCGAGCGAGTACATGCTGACTTACCTTTCACTTTAGCTGGGCATCCACGAGGACTCGACCAACCGCAAGAAGCTGGCGGAGTTCCTTCGCTACCACACCTCTTCCTCGGGCGACGAGACGACGTCGCTGAAGGACTACGTCTCGCGCATGAAGGAGAACCAGAAGGACATCTACTTCATCACGGGCGAGTCTCGCGAGGTCGTCGACAACTCCTCGTTCGTGGAGCGCGTGAAGAAGCGTGGCTTCGAGGTCATCTACATGTGCGACCCCATCGACGAGTACTGCGTCCAGCAGCTGAAGGAGTTCGACGGCAAGAAGCTCGTCTCCGTCACCAAGGAGGGCCTTGAGCTCCCTGAGAGCGAGGAGGATAAGAAGAAGTACGAGGAGGACAAAGTCAAGTTCGAGAAGCTCTGCAAGGTCATGAAGGTAATGAACAAGCTTCTTGTTGTACGTGTCCTAACCTTCTAAGTTCAGGACATCCTTGACAAGAAGGTGCAGAAGGTCTCGGTGTCCAACCGCCTCGTCTCGTCGCCTTGCTGCATTGTGACCAGCGAGTACGGCTGGACCGCCAACATGGAACGTATCATGAAGGCCCAGGCTCTTCGCGACTCGTCCACCATGGGCTACATGGCCTCCAAGAAGAACCTCGAGATCAACCCCGACCACTCGATCATCAAGTAAGTTTCAAGCAATATTGGCTGAAGCTACAAGCTACACGTTTCCGGTATTAACCATCCGTTTTCAGGACCCTTCGGGAGCGCGTCGAGGCTGACCAGGACGACAAGACCGCAAAGGACCTCGTGGTGCTGCTGTTCGAGACCTCGCTGCTCACCTCAGGTTTCTCGCTGGAGGAGCCGCAGTCGCACGCGAACCGCATCTACCGCATGATCAAGCTCGGCCTGGACATCACCGACGACGACGAGGAGGAGCCCCTGCCCGGCTCGAGCGGCGAGGGCGCCATCCCGAAGGTCGAGGGCGCCGAGGAGGACGCTTCGCGCATGGAGGAGGTCGACTAAGCCCTTCACCCGCTCTTGTATTCGGCCCCACCACCACTTTTTGTCTCTACGGATCTCTTCCCTGACGTTATTCCTTGTTGTCCCACGTCTCGTGCGCGGATTTATGTATCTTGGTGACTCTAAATTAAAAATGTCTGTTGACATAACTGACAGTGGGATACCTAGGAAACCTTGGCTTTACAGGGCATCAGACAGATTTGTGATATTTGTAGTAGAATCGAAAATTCCGTGCTGCGGCACTGTGACGAAACCACCACTTTCGTAGACGGCTAGGTCTAGGGACGGATAGGAGTGACTTAGAAACTCGTCGGTCTAGATGGAACAACGCAACCTACATACTTCGCACTTCTCTTCTCCCAGACGAACGGGCGGGCGCACTTCGAACTTATCTAAGTCTTTCCTTAGACCTTTTTCTTCTAGAAACCGGTTATGTCGGAGGAAGGGCTTAGTTTGCAAGTTCGTCAAAGCAAAAACAGCGGTCATAGTTAGCAAAATTCACACTATTTGTTTCAAGTCAGAGTGTTACAGTCCTTGGCAGAATGGGGGCTGTATAAGCTGAAACGATGCAACGATTCTAGACGATAGAATAATGGACGAACACGGTTGCAGTCGTTTGAGCATCCTCAGCTCAGAATCCGAACAAAGTCATTACCAGGTTTCGGAATTCCGAAAAACATCTTCGCTCTTCCGGTAGAGGGACGACCTTGTTCTTCCTGTTTCCGGGAGGTACAGATGCTAATGCTCTAATTCCACTGTGACTCGGAGGAGCATCTGCGTAGACAAAACGCAAAAGGCTAAGACTCAGCAATTTATCGCGCATGGCAGCGTCGCTAAGTGAGCTACGATCGTTCAAAACCTGTACTTCACGGAACTGAGTATTCGTTTCCGAAGCCCCTAATTCTTCCCTCTTCCGGCAGAGCAGAATATCCTCGTTCGTTTTCTTTTCACTGCTGGAAGAAGACGAGGAATAGGAAGCACAGAGGCGCCGAAAGAGGCCACAGCTATAAACCTTGAAGAGCCTCGAAGAATGACGCGCACTAGGTATCCTCGATTTTCTGAGCATTCTCTGGAGTACCGAAAAACGCGTACACATTCAGTTCCGCTGACTCGTCCGCGTGGCCTAATGGATAAGGCGTCGGTCTCCTAAACCGAAGATTGCGAGTTCGAGTCTCGCCGTGGACTTGACTTTTTCTTACAGCCAAATTGGTTGTGCTTATCGGACAAGCCTTTTTAATCAAACCCTTTAAAGTTTCCAAAAAAAACATTTTAACGACAAACTTTATAATGAAAATCTGACGGTGAACAGTCTATGAGCAGATAAGCGACTAGTCGTTTATTACTTTGACCAGTATTATTAAAAGCACGACGGCATAGCACATAGGTACTAGCAGAAATTAGACCACGGACATTGGCATGTGTGCTGGGAAATCGGAGATCAGTTGGTACCGGTGCCGTTGGCGTGGGCCTGCTGCTTGCCGCGACGCGAGAGGGGATTGTACGCTGGGCCTCCGAAGCGCGTCCAGAGCGACTCGAACTCGTGTGCAAGGATCTCTGCACCTTTACGGCGAGTCAGCTGCGTCTGCTCCAGGGCCAGCTCGCACATCTTCTCATCGTCACGACCTACAATCAAAAATGTGTGATTTTTGGACAGTCAGAGAGCAACATACCAGCAACCAGCAGTAGGGTGGGCTTGTTCGGGTGCTGCTCCATCTGACGAGCCACGTACTGGCCGTCGAAATGCGCATACCAGTAGCCGGTGCTTCCGGGCGCTCCTGCGGTGCCACCTAAAGTAAAGCACTTGGCTAGTTCCACTTTATAGAACGTACCCTTAGTAGTGAACGGGACACGGAAGTAGCGCTGGATACTTTGGGCTTGAGCACTGGCAGCGGTCTTGTCCGACGGCGCAGTGTTGGCTGAAATCGTGAAAGTCGTGAAGTTCTCGCATGGGAACAGGTACCGTTGGCCATGATGAAGTCGGGGGCACGTTGGCGTTCGACCGAGCTCGTGTCCGGCTGTGACTTAGCGTTCTTTGCCTTCCAGTCCTGGTAGACGCGTAGACGACGGTGGAACTCTTCGCGGCATGCGTTCAGTAAGTCGATGTCTAAATAGGTCCTTCGTATGCTTGACCAGCGCAAAACATGTAGCTACCGTTAGAAGTGTTGATGGCGTCGCGAAGATCAACATACTTCCAGCTGGACAAGTCGTAACGACCCGTGGAAACGGCCCTAAAAGCGCCAGTAGTATGCAATGAGTGAGTTACCGGCATACAAGGAAGCAGTGTTCTGTGCGGACGGCTCTGCAATCTGAACGGCGCTGTTCTCACTGACGAGGCGTCGGGCCAGTTCGTCGTCGAGACGCTCCTGTTCCTGCTTGCGAGCACTAAAGCAAGTGCCCTTACATTAGCGTGTTCTTGCATGACTGATTACCGTTCAGATTTTTCTTGTTCTTCGAGTCTACGCTGCTCCTCGAGTTGTTTCGCGCGAGCCTGACGCTCTTCTTCTTCTTTCTGGCGCTTCAGTTCAAGCTCTCGGCGCCTGAAAAGTTTCATTTATTCCAGCGGTAAATGCGTGTCAACGACATACTCAATTCGCTGACGCTCTTGCTCCTCACGGTCTCTGCGCTCAGCTTCTTCACGCTCACGCTGTGCACGAGCTTCCGCTTCCATGCGACGCACGCGCTCCTTCTCGTCCTCATCGATCTGCTTCCTTAAAAACGAAACGTTACATATGCTTGTAAGTGGAGAGGTTCCTACTTCAGTTGAGACAAGAGCTCCTCGAAGGCGTTCTCCAGCGTTTCAGAGCGCTTGGAAGCCTCTGCATAGTTCTTCATCAGATCGTTCTAAGAGAACAGTCCGTCAGGATCGTGACACATCCAGTTAGCGAACCTTGATATCGCGCAGGAGACTGACGATTTCGCCGTTCAAAGCCTCCATTTTGGGCGACCACGTTGAGCGGCTGGTGGGCTCCAGGCGGGAAGCAATCTGTCCCAGTTCCGTTCCACGAGACGACAAGGACCGAACCTTTCGGTACGCGGCAACCCTTAAGCAAAAGTCAGTAAATATTCGCAAGAAGCTAATCACATACCGAGGACGATGTCGACGGCGCGCAATGAAGCCACGCACCGCGCTTTGGATCTTGACGAGATGCTCCGCTCTGTACTTGATCTTGTTCTGCACTAAAAAGGTACATTGCAATACGTGGGTGTGACTCAACTGCCGTACGCTTGATGCAGGATAGCACGCCGTATTGAGCCTTCTTCCAGCGGACGCAGTGTAGCCATGACTTCACTTTGTTGATCAAGCTCGCCATGCTCTCCTGGTCCTGACGCATGAGCTGGTCGAACTCGGCAAACTTGCCGGGGCGGAAGAACACCTTCGTCATGCCGAACTTGAAGTCCCTGTCGTTGAGACCGAGTGCGTGGAACAGGCACTAAAACAGGAAGACTGATAAAGATCTTTCAGCAGAGACGTACTTTGCAGAAGAGACGAGGATCCAGACGAGCTAGCTCTGGTGGCAACATCGCCTTGTACGTTGCGTAGAGGTCAGCGAAGTGAGTTCTGAAAGCAATTTGATCGCTAGTGTACGTCTCAATGGGGAACGCGTACCTGGAAGGGTAGCCCTTTTGCATGAGCTTGAGCACACTGGTCATGCCGGCGCACTTCAGCTGACTCAGAATCTGAGCTCCTTCAAACTGTCCAGGAGCCATGTCCGAGTTCGGCTTAATACAGCGCACGAAGTGCGTGCCCTAAAGCAACGCGATGTCAGCATACAAACAGTGTTTTTATGCTACCGTACCGTGTTCTCAAGCTTGTGCAAGAGGAGGCCCAGCTGAGATCGGAACTTGCTGCTCACGGATGCGACGCTGAGCTTCTGGTGCTGGCTCTTGCCGTTAATGGCTGGCACACCGTTGCCGTTCTCCTGATGTCCGAAGAGCTTCTTGGTGTACACGTTCCTAAGAAGACAATTAGAAAGGAGAAGTTGCAAAGACCATACTCGCTCTGCTCCATGAGGAACTCGAGGGAAGCGTGAAGGGCGTCATTGTTCTTCTCCAGGAACAGCGCTGTCTGATAGCACACTGCTCCAGCGTAGTGGCGAATGATGAAGCCCTCATCGTCGCGCATCTCCCTGTGTTCCTTGATCCTCGATCGGCGAGGTTCCTAAACGCGAATGACTACAGCCCGCTCTGAGATGACGGTACGCACAGTTAGTCGGAAATGTTTCTGGTGACGCTGATGAACGCCAGCGGTGAAGTGCTGCGGAGCGGGACGCGGTAGGCGTGCTTCCTCATCCAGCATATCGAGGAGACCGTTGGTGCGCTCCTCGAAGAGGTCGATGCAGTCCTTGTTGTCCGAGTACTCGATGCGCTCCACGTTCAGTCCCTCCTTCTCATAGAGCTCCTGCTCCTGCTTCAGGATACGGTCGTTGAAGAACTGCTGGAGCTTCTCGTTGCAGTAGTTGATGCAGAACTGCTCGAAGGAGTTCACCGCGAAGAATTCTAAATCGAATGGGGTTGACAACAAAATGTAGGAGGTTCACTGTTACCGAAGCCGGCAATGTCGAGAACGCCAATGTAGTTCACGCTGTCGCTGAACGGAATGCACTGGTTGATGCTGGCTACGACGTTGTCGAAAAGTCTGCTATAGATGGCCTTGCTGAGCGCATCGCGCGCCGCATTCGCTTCGTGGATCTTCAGCGGAACCCTAAACAACTTCTTTCCACACTTGGGATTTCGGGTCCGAAACTCACATGATCATAGTGCCTTTCACACCGCTCTTCGTCGGCTGCATGAGGCGAGAGATTAGGCCATGTCGGAGCTCCAGCTCATTCAGGCCAAGAAGCTCGGCTGCGGTCTCGAGAGAAGGCATCGTGGATGGTTTCACGGTGCAGCCACCTAAAATTGCCATTTCGGGGAGTCGGAAGGCATTCATTCACACCTCGACTGTCATTCGCGTTTTCGATGAACTCGACGTTGCCCAGGTGTAGAATGGCGGCAATGGTGCGGAAGAGTCCGTCAAGCAGGCTATCGTCCAGGCCGATCTCCTTGAGGGCTCTGCAAAGGCGCTGGAAATCTGCGTAGTCGTCCACCATGGAGTCGGTGATGTTGTCCTATGACAAACTCAGTTAGTGCGACCATTGAAAAGCTTACTCACCTTTTTGGCTTTGCGATCAGCTGGGATATGCGAGGCAGATGACGCGCTAGCAAAGAACTGGGTTGTTCCATTGCGCAAGTACTAAATAGCAATGGGCTATTAGGCACGCCTTGGCTCTAAAAATAGTCATGCATTGAGAGGATATGCACTTACGTTGAACTTATCCGCTGGTGCAAGCCGCAGTCTCTGTGCCGTTTGTGCGTCTGCGCCCGCCAGCAGCTGGTAGAAGACGTGGTAGTTGCGTTCACCCGCATGCTGGTGGCATAAGCGGGACTTCTCGAGCAGGTAGTGGGAGACGAATCCACCAGCAACTTGGTACTGAAACACCGAGATAACGGCTTTCTAGTGTCTCCTGACCGCTTGCCTACCTTCTGTCCGAAATGAATCTCGACGAATTTTCCGAAGCGACTGGAGTTGTTGTTGCGCATCGTCTTCGCGTTGCCGAACGCCTCCAGGATTGGGTTGGCTGGAATTAATATCCGTTAGGCTCGGCTTCAAAGGATGCATCCTACTTTCGAGAAGTCGTTGCTCCACCGGACCGGCCGATGAGCCCCAGCATTCGCAGAGGTAGCGCAGAATGCACTTCTGTGACTCAGTCTTCCCTGCGCCCGACTCTCCGGATACGATCACCGATTGACTCTCTCGCACGCGTTTCATGTCGCGATAAGCCTTGTCAGCTAAATCACAATTAGGATCGACGTGACCTTTGTTGAGTTGGAATCGTACCGATGGCGAACACGTGCGGAGGCAGCGTGCCGAGCGACTTTCCCTGGTACCGTCGGATGGTGTCGATGCTGTAGAGGTCCGGAACGTTCTCGTAGGGGTTGATCGAGATCAGGATGTTCGCCACGTAGGTCTAAAACCATCTAGTCATTGAGTGGTGAGGCCGCATGACGTACGTAGATCTGTTTACGGCTGTAGCGTAGACGGCAGTTGTGCAGAAGTGTTGCCTCGTTCAAGTACATGAGGGCACCTAAATTCAAGTTCGTTTCGAAAGTAAACTTTTCCCACATACAGTTGTCGTCCACATCCT